AGAAGCTTAGGCACGGTGCTCACATGGGCTTGCCCGGGGCTTTCCCAGCTGCCCCAGAAGCTTCCCCAGGCTCTGCATTTTTAAAAAATAGGGGGATTTAGGGTGCCTGGGTGGCTCAGTAGGTTAAGCCTCTGCCTTCAGCTCAGGTCATGGTCTCAGGGTCCTTGGGTCGAGGCCCTCCTCGGGCTCTCTGCTCAGCAGGGAGCCTGCTTCCCCCTTCTCTCTACCTGCCTCTGCCTACTTATGATCTCTCTCTCTCTCTCTCTGTCAAATGAATAAATAAAAACCTTTAAAAATAGGGGGATTTATTTATTTATTTATTTACTGCTTCAGTCAATGAAAAGAAAACTTTGTTGAAGCCCTGGGGCTTTGGGCTGGGGCAGGAGGCCACCCTGTGGGGAAAAGGGCCTTATTTGACCCTCTTCTTGGGGCACAGGTTTTTGGTGTGGCCACGCTTCTTATGGCAGGTGACAGAGTGGGGGTGCAGGGAGCACTGGGGCCAACCATCTTGTCGTAGTTGTGTTTCTGGGCCAGCATACAGAGGGGAGGCTTGATGAGGCCACCCTGCGGGCGAAGCCCCAAGGCAGGGAAGCCTCTTTCTGGATATTTCAGTTTGAGAGAGTATGGCCATCCTCCAGCCGTTTGTTTGCCAAAATCATTTGCTTGCTGCTGGTCTGGCAGGATGCCCTCCTTGTCTTGGATTTTGGCTTTGACATTCTCGATGATGTCACGGGGCTCGGCCTCAAGGACGATGGTCTTGCCCATCAGGGTCTTCACGAGGATCTGCATCTCTGCATCTCTTAAAGGCTGCCTCCGCCAAACCAGCTGGCCACCCCGTTGAAGAGAAAGACAGTGGCAGAACCTAAAAATACGTTTATTCTATAAATTACCCTCTATAATGGGCGTAGATTCACTGGCCAAATATGTTAGGGGCTTTTTTATTCTATATCTGCTTCCAAAGGTCACAGTGATATTGGCACTGGAAAACCCCAGGGGTGCTGCAGCACGGAGTGGTGTTTAACCTGAACCCAAGCCCAGAGTTCCCCGTACTGATCTGATCACAGATCTTCATTTCTTTTTCTCAGGGTGTCTGTGAATCTGGTTCTCCAGCTACACGCTGGGATGGCTGCCCTAGCTCAGGTCTCTCAGCTCTGTTGACATTCTGGGCACGAGCACTCTTTGTCGTAGAGGGCTGTCCTCTGCCTTGTAGGATTTTAGCAGCATTCCTGGCCTCTTCCTGTTAGAAGCCAGGAGCAGCTCCTCCTGTCCCCAAAGAAAATGTTTCCAGATATCACCCAAGTGCCCTGGGGCCAAAGAACCTCTTGGGACACAACACTCTAACTCATGCATTTGTAGTAAAGGCAGTATTGCCCTCAAGGAGTCAAAAACTGGTTTGAGGAGGTGAAAACAAACCCTTCTCTTTTTATGTATAAAGCACTGATATACGCATACTACATCATAAACAGTATTAAAATTTCATGGGGAGGAGATGCCTCGGTGACTCGGTTGTTAAGCATCTGCCTTCAGCTCAGGTCGTGATCCCAGGGTCCTGGGGTCGAGCCCTGCATCAGGTTCCCTGCTCAGTGAGGGGCCTGCTTCTTCCTCTCCCTCTACCCCTGTTTGTGTTCCCTCTCTCACTCTCTCTCTCTCTTTCTGTCAAATAAATAAAATCTTAAAAAAAAAAGTTTCATGGGGAAGTGAGATAAGAAAAAAAAAACTGAAAAGACTCTTTGGGAGAGGTAATAATGAACAAAGGGTGACAAGCATGCTCTGGCTCTGGTCCCTTTTCATGCAAACTCCTTAGGAAAAATGACATTTGTGGCTCTTCGAAGCCGAACTGAAGACAGTAGAGGGAAAACATCTGGAAGCTGGCAGAAGCTGAGGAGATGATGGACAGAAGACTTGGGACTGCTGTGACTGCCATGCAAACTCAGGGGGACTCGGCCACGACTACTGTCAGTGGAAGTGCCATGATTTCTAAGTAGAGGGCTGTGGGCAGGGGTCCTCCTGTTGCAAAGGGGGCTTGAAGCTAGGTTGTCGGATGCCACGTTACACCCAGTTATCGAACGTGGTTGACTACAGCCCTCCCAGTCCCTCCCGGACACACACACTCACATTCATGTTTCTCTCCTCTGGTTACCCTTTCTCCTGCCTGTGTCTGGCCTCCTCCTCTAACCTCCTCAGATTCCCACTCGTTGGAGGATATAGCCCATCCTGGTTGCCTGCCACCAGCAAATAACGAACAGCCCGCTGATCCAGAATATATAGATCATTTCTACTGCAGGGAGCCGGCCAAAGGCAATTTTTTACATTAAAAAACCAACAAATCAATGTTTAAAAATCAAGAAATTTCTCTTTTAAAAGAAAACTTACTTCATTTTCCTCTTTAATCTAGCAGAGAGCAAACCTTCCTAGCTTTCAGTTTTGGGAAATGAGTGAATCTTAGTCACTCGTTTTCTGCTGCTTCTATCAAAAAAAACCCCACTTGAACTCAGCATAGTTGGGTGAAGGATAGAGCTGGTGCTCACAGGAAGCCACGCGCCCTTCAAAGGCACCTGTCTTTCTCAGCACTCTACTTCTTGAGCAAGCCTGGCACTGGCTCACAGACCTGCCTCAGAACTGCTGTCAGGGAAGCAAGGTAAGTGGGGACGGGGCCATTCCTAGGGCCTCAGGCCACAGGCCACGCATGCTCTCCAGACACTAGATAGGTGTGTGGACTTTGGAAGTGCTATAAGCTGGCCAGCTACCCAGTCCCAACACTCAGGCATCTTGGGCATTCTGGGGCTCCCAGCCAGCTTATCTTACCTTGGAGCTCACACACCATCTACTTCTACTCACATCCTCCAAGCCCTTGTCTGATGGGCGTTCATAGGTGCAGGTCTCTCTCACTGTGCACATCTGGCCCCAGTCCACATGCTTAGGATATACAGAAAATTTTGGTCAAATATACACACTTTTCTGCTTTTTGCTTCTGTCAAGACTCCCAGGCCAAGAAAGAAAATAAGGCTGATTCCCACCACTTACCAGCTGGTGTTTACTTTTTTTGTTCTCCCGATAATTTCCGAATTCCTCAGCTTTGTCTGTTCCTTAAACTTTCACTGGAAAAATGGTGGAGAGAGGACTGTTCTTTATCTAACTAGAATCGATATTCATTGTACAACATTGTTTCCAGGGACCCTGCGATGCCCCCGGTCTTCAGGATCTGTTTGCAGGAGGAAATCCAAATCTCTTTCTTGAGAAACCAAATGTAGTTTATAGTTTGAGTGTTGGGGCATGTGGTGGTGAGGCTGGAAGGTAGGGGGTCGACGTGAATTACTGGACACTGTTGTAATAAGGAACATAGGCTGCCGTTAAGAAGGAAGCAAGAGGAGGTAGCCTTGAGTCAGAAAGCCCTTCATCCCTGAATTACTCTGATTCACATGTGAACAGGTGTGTAAATTTAAGAAGGTTTTAATCTCTTCACCTGCCAATTTAGATAGCAAATGAGAGTGATTGGGGAGATAGATTTCATTTCTGGCTGTGATGTGTCGTTTCGACATCTGTCAGGCTAATTCCGGCGGGGGATGGGATTCAGTGGACAGGACTGATTTTTGCATGCAGTTTTGATGAAAAGACCAGAAAGTGCTCTCAAGTAACCATCTGAGTACTGTGAGATTATCTGAATACTGCAGTCTTCAGAAGGGCCTTGAAAACACATCTGCTGCATTAGCATTAGACTGGCCCAGAAGCAGCGGGCCCCCAGACCTGGAAGGCCAGGCGTGTTCCCATTTATGTGATGTTCTAGAATGGACCTGGGACTTGGCTGTGTGTGCTGGAGACAACTTGCACCAACTCAAGATTGCTAAGATTCAGGAAATTTTTTTTTTTTTAAGATTTTATTTATTTATTTGTCAGAGAGGGAGAGAGAGAGCAAGCACAGGCAGACAGAATGGCAGGCAGAGGCAGAGGGAGAAGCAGGCTCCCTGCCGAGCAAGGAGCCCGATGTGGGACTCGATCCCAGGACGCTGGGATCATGACCTGAGCCGAAGGCAGCCGCTTAACCAACTGAGCCACCCAGGTGCCCCAAGATTGAGGAATTCTGTGAAGTGGTTGGTAGCTGCAATTTTGCCGTGGTGGAAGTATTTGTACTATAGAAACACGCAAACACCGTAAATCAGAGTTCCCTACCTCCCCAGAACTGGTTTACCAGCACATCACCGGGACTCAGGCCCCAAGAGAAAGGTTTGCATATAGCTGTGTGGCCTCATTTAACTTCTCTGAACCTTTTATGAGTCATCTACACCATGGTTCGGTAAGGTCGCTTGGCTTAGAGTGCCCGACTTTTGTTGGGAGGGTGGCAGGGGACAGGAACATGGGGTAGGATTAAATGAATAATGCCAGGGAATGTGCTTTGAAATCTATGTCAAGCTTGCAGGAGGAATTAGAATTTTAATATAAAGTCAGGTGACCAACCTTGTAGCCTAATGATTATCTAAGCAGTTACTGAATTTTGGGAATTATAATCTGAAGGGGGAACATGCATAGATTTTTCATCTTTTTGTTTGTTTTTTTGTTTTTATGTCACAAAGGCGGCTCCGGGTGTAGGACTATTGGGAATCTCAACTGACCTACAAATGATTCAGTAATCCCAGACTACTGTTTAGAAATGCGTCCTTGAAAACGCCTCCTTGGGAAGGAGGTTTTACTGTCCCCACTTACAAATGAGAGAACGGAAGCTCCCCTCAGAGGGGTAGGAAAGGGGCAGAGCTGGACGGTGGAATCTGCTAACTCCCAAGGGCAGGGTTCTCCCATTTGGCTGCACTGCCCTGTGGAAGGGCGCTGTTCCACTTGGGAAGGTTGGGAAGGCTGTGCGATGGTCTGGGGCAAAATATTAAGCAGCTATGCTCTGTATTCAGCACCATTCCAATTTGGTTTTGTTCTTACAGAAATCTTGTTTGCTCTTCCCCTTCTTATCTTCTGGTGGGGCTCAGACCAGAGTTGAGGAGCTGGCAGATTTGAAAATGAACCCCACGGATATAGCAGACACCACCCTGGATGAAAGTGTCTATAGCAATTACTATCTCTACGAAAACATCCCCAAGCCTTGCACCAAAGAAGGCATCAAAGCGTTTGGGGAGCTCTTCCTGCCCCCTCTCTACTACTTGGTCTTTCTGTTTGGTCTCCTTGGAAATTCTGTGGTGGTGCTAGTCCTGTTCAAGTACAAAAGGCTTAAGTCCATGACTGACGTGTACCTGCTCAACCTTGCCATCTCGGACCTGCTCTTCGTGCTCTCCCTCCCTTTCTGGGGCTACTATGCTGCAGACCAGTGGGTTTTTGGACTCGGTCTCTGCAAGATCATTTCCTGGATGTACTTGGTGGGTTTTTATAGTGGCATCTTCTTCATCATGCTCATGAGCATTGACAGATACCTGGCGATTGTGCATGCGGTGTTCTCCCTGAGAGCGAGGACCTTGACTTATGGGGTCATCACCAGTTTGGCCACATGGTCTGTGGCTGTACTGGCCTCCCTTCCAGGCCTTTTATTCAGCACGTGTTATACCGAGCGCAACCACACCTACTGCAAAACCAAGTACTCTCTCAACTCCACAAGGTGGAAGGTGCTGAGCTCTCTGGAGATCAACATTCTCGGATTGGTGGTTCCCTTGGGCACCATGTTGTTCTGCTACTCCATGATCATCAGGACACTGCAGCACTGCAAAAATGAGAAGAAGAGCAAGGCGGTGAGGATGGTCTTTGCTGTGGTGGCCCTCTTCCTGGGGTTCTGGGCACCTTACAATGTGGTGCTTTTCCTGGAGACACTGGTGGAGCTGGGGGTCCTTCAGGACTGCACCTTTGAAAGGCACCTGGACTACGCCATTCAGGCCACAGAGACCCTGGCTTTCGTTCACTGCTGCCTTAATCCAGTCATCTACTTTTTCCTCGGGGAGAAATTCCGCAAGTACATCGTACAGCTCTTCAAAACCTGCAGGGGACCGTTCATGTGCTGCCAATACTGTAGGCTCCTCCAGCTCTACGCCCCTGACACTCCCAGCTCCTCCTACACGCAGTCCACCGGGGATCACGATCTCCATGATGCCCTGTGAAAAACAAAGAGGCAAAAGATGGAGTTGAGCTTCCCAGAGTTAAGAGCTTGAAACTGTATTATAGTAAGAATTCCTGAGCAAGTGGCAGGAAGAAGACTTACATCCACGGCAGGGCATGGGCTCCTCACCCCACAGTCAGCTTTTCCTCTTGCCACATGCGAGTTCAGCGCAGCAAGAGCTCCGTGGGGCTGCGGCTGCGGCAGCCCTCCTCTCCCAGGAGTGCCTGCCTACGGCATGAGTAAACTGAAGGAGAATTCTAAGCAGCTTTTCAGTGAGGCTATACATAATACTGTAAGGGAAGGACCATTCATTCCCTTCTACCTGAACGGAGGGTGTTGTCCAGGAGGAACTGTGGAATCAATCGCTGCTCCTTCCTGCTTGCTCCTTTCATGAACTTCTAGCTTTTGTGGAACAATATAGACAACTTTGACATGCTGTCCTAGAGTTTTTCTAATAATATATCCGAAGCATGGTATATTTCTGGAAGCCAGGTGCACACAGGAACAAAGAGAAGTAATGAACCTGGACCTTGAGTCTTCTATTTTGAAGGATGATTTGTTAATGGAAGCCACACTTTTGATGCCGATGACAAGTGTAAGGATGTGAAGACATAGCATGGTCTGATTTCCAAACATGAAATACAAGGCATTAAAAAAATCCAAACACATTTGTGGAAATTCAAACACACTTTCATATGGTCGTGAGCATGTTTTGTTTCAATTACAACAGACGAATATTCAAATTTCACAAATAATATACATGTGCGGATATATTTATGTAGGGTCTCTCACCTGTGTACAAACAGAGCCTTCGAAACTAAAAATAGCCAGGGCGAATAAAGTATGACAGTGCTTCCTCAAGAAGTTCGAAGTGCCTCCTATCAGGCAAGGCAAGAATAATCAACCAACAGTAACTACTGATGTGGCATAAACAGGACCATCACAAAATTATGAAGTTGTGAAAATGTCATCCTCTCTTTTAAAACATTGGCCACCTTTTTAACTGTGGGATGACTCAAAATTTCAGCCAGTCATTTCTTACATGTTAATCATGTAATTAATTGTTTGACACCATTAAAATAAACCTTTGTTCTTATAGCCTTAATCAGAATAAAGTAAAGACTTTAATCAAGTCGGGAGAGACCTGTAATCCCTCCCCCCAAAAAACCTATCTTGCAAACTATTTTTTTTTTTTTTGTCTTGCAAACTATTAACCGAGTTATCTGTTTCAAATGCTTCTGTAAGTTTACACATTATCACATGCTCTATGCTTATAAAGGATGCATTTCCAGAAAGTTGGTTTTCAGAGAAGTGATTTTAAAAGGGTAAGTGGATGTTGCCTTTATGGATACAAATAAACAGACTTGTATATAGTCCCAGAGAGTTTTTTTCCTGACCTGTTTGCATTCAGTTTCCTTTGTTTTGTTTTAATTTTATTTGAGAGAGCGAGAGCACGAGCAGAGGGAGAGGAAGAAACAGACTCCCCGCTGAGAAGGGAGCTGGTCATGGAGCTTGATCTCAGGACCCAGGATCACCACCAGAGCCCAAGGCAGATGCTTAACAGACCAAGCCACCCAGGCACCCTGTGCTGGTTTCCTGACGGGGCTGCAGATGCGAGCTGATGTGGACCTGGCGCACTGGGCTGGCCAGTGGGAGGAACCAGAGGGTTCCCTGTCCCAGGCAGCCACGTGGGGTGGGGAGGCGGTGCCCTGTGCAGCAGTGACCAGGAGGCTGGTGTACATGGCAGGGAGGGCTGGGCCGGGGTCTTGGGCGGTTTCCCTAGAAAACCTACCTCCGCCTGGCACACCAGCCCAACCCGCACTCCCGAGTGAGCCTGAACACATCACTTCTAGCCTCAGTTTCCCCTCATCTATAGAGCAGAATATATTCCAGGGTGATGAAAGGAAAGATGATTGTTCCCTGGTAGAACTTGTAAGGATATTCATTTAATCACAGTGAGAGGGAAAATTTAGGGCCTGAAAGACAGACCGGCCCAGGGGGTTTCACTGTTGCTTTGTCCCTCCGCACACACAGTGGTAAACAGTGTGGAATGCCGTCTGCCCGCTGCCATCCCTCCTCCTGGGGGGAATCACCCATCACCTCAAGTTCCTCAGGCCTTCCCTTGTCCCAGAGCTGGGGCAGATTCCCTCCAGATGGGGAATTTGGAACTTCCAGTGGCACTCCAGTGTGATACTCTCGGAACACAGACAAGAATGTTTCTTCTCATTCGGCACCAGAAACATGAACAAAAAGCCAGTGCAATTTCTAAACAAAGGTAGTACACAAAGGTGAGTTTAACTCTCCGTTCTCAGACACTGGACCCATCTCTTCCTTGTGACAATGCACCCAGCTTCTGGGGAACACAGACTCGTTGCCATTTAAGAACAGCAGTCGTGGTGGTTGCACAATACTGGGAATGTTCTAGATGCCGCTGAATTGCACATTTTTATTTATTTAATTTATTTTTTATTTTTATTTATTTATTTATTTGACAGACAGATCACAAGTAGGCAGAGAGGCAGGCAGAGAGAGACAGGAGGAGGAGGCAGGCTCCCCGCTGAGCAGAGAGCCCGACGCGGAACTCGATCCCAGGACCCTGGGATCATGACCTGAGCCGAAGGCAGAGGCTTTAACCCACTGAGCCACCCAGGCGCCCCATGAATTGCACATTTTTAAATGATTGTTTGAAAGCCTGTGAATTTTACCTCAACAAGAATGCCAGGCAATAGCCCTTTCAGTATCTGTCCCATAGCAGGCACCCAAATTCTACTGAATAGATACATGCCATCTTCATTCTGTGAGAAGAAAAGATACAGGGTGTTGGCAAACGGTCTTCAGACCGTTGGGGAGATTTTCCTTGAGAAACTCTCTTCACAGCTTGGAGCATTGGATGCAATTAGTTCCAATTGGTTGAATGTCTGTTTTGTGCTAAGCAGGATGTTTTGTGCTAGTCTCCGGGTTATGGAGAGACTAACAGGATAAAGGAGAAAGCTGGTGGAATTTATACTCTGATACGGGGAAAACACAAACACAAGATCAACTCTAAGGCAAGCAGGAGAGATACAACAGAGTAACAAACACAATGCTTTGGGACGTTCGAGGAAGGAGAAATGGATTCAACTTCCAATTTCATCATACAATTAGCTTTTAAAAGGACCATGATTTTGATGAATGGAAGGGAGGAAGGACAGGGGAGGCTGGTGGAAAGGCTGGTGGTGTTAAGAGCAGACTGTGTGATCAGGGGTTAGGGAGTGGTTTGGGCAGTTAAAAGAGAACATGTTGGGGAGGTGAGGGACAGCAGCAAAATAAACACTTGTCCTCTTGCCTTAATTTGGAACAACTCTGACAGGCCATTCCAATTCGAGCTCCCCGTACGATCAGTTGGGGTGTCTGCTGCAGCGACACGCCAGGGCAACTTTTCCTGTTGTCCAGTCTTGCTTCCTTCACGCCCTTGTAGGGGCTGTTCCCAAGATGACTCACCATTAAATCCGCTGTACGCTAATCTCAGAGTCTCAGAGGCTGTTTTCAGGAAACCCTGTTTAAAACCAGGACTTGGGGATCACATGGGGGCGAGTGAGCCCCTAATACAAAGGGAACTGACCTTCGGGTGTGGGGAAAGCATTGCCCCTGCACTGGGATTGGCCTTCATTCATTGCCTCTGTCCATCAGCCCCATCCGACTCTTGTTGCCTATGCTTCTGTTTGTCAGCTGCACCTTGGCTCCCGTAACCGGCCTGCCTCACCACCAGAGGCATCTCCCTCTCCACTCCTGTTATGGTCATGGACCACCTCTACCTTAGGTTGTGCTCTAGTCACCTGACATCCTATATTCTGTACCGGCGGTCAGCGACTTGCTGGGCTCACATGAACCAAACACAAGCTCTACCCATTTTTGTGGTCACAGTACTTTACTCCTTAAAAGCTTATGATGGCTCCAAATTCCCCTTTCAGAAAAGCAGAAATCCACCAAGGGCTTTCATATACTGAAACTCGGTTCAGGTTCACTGTAAAGTAGATAAGGTTGGATTTACCCCAAGAGACATAGATTCAAGGGAAATAATATTCTAATCACGAATTAGACTAACTCCAACAGTAGCCAGCACCTAACCGCCTAGCAAAATGTCTAGCACAAAGCAGTTGCTCAATTATTTTCTAGTGAGTGAGTGAATTTCCTTATCTCTTAATTAAGTCCTCTACTCTGGCAATTCAAGTTTCTATTTCACTACACAAAGTTCAGCGGTCCTCTCTCCAAAATCCCCACTATGTTTCTAATAAAACTTCGTGTGACAGAGTTCAAAGATTGATTGAATTGCCTCCTAGTTCCAGAAATCAGTGGGTGTTCTTTGGGTGAAAAATTACTTCATTAAGACTTTTGCTATGAGCATAGTTGCAGAAGTCTGCATTTTCACCTTCTCTAGGACCTGTAAAATAACAGCAAGAAGAATGAATTAAAAAGCTCACAAACTCCATTTTTTAAAATTCTTTTTAAATAAGCTCCACACCCAGTGTGGAGCTCGAACTCGTGACCCCAGATGGAGAGTCACATGTTCTACCCACAGAACCAGCCAGGTACCCCACAAACTCTCTGTACTTTCTTCATGATTTTTTTTATAAACTTAAAACTGTTTTAAGAGATAAAATTTATTTTTTAAATTGAAAAAGAAAAAAAAGTATTTCTAGTTGTAATGATAGTATTGAGTAACTGGAAAACTCGAGAGAATCATCGGCAAAAACTATTATGAATAACAATTAAGCGAGTTAACAGGAAAGTGCTAATATGTAAAACTGACCTGTATTTATAATTACAAATAACCACTGGTTAGAAGATGTGATAGAAAAACAGACCCGCATTTTGAAAGAGAATAGAAAAAAAAATCCTAATTAAGATACATATTATATCTGAAATATATAGGAAATATAAAAAACCCCACTTGAAAACACTATTGCTGAACACCAAAATACCCTATGAAAAGGCCTAGATACTTTTTTCCAAGAAGACTCA